TATATATATATATATTAAAATAACAATTTTTAACTTTCAGCCAACATGAATGCATTACTCACTAATGCAAACCCAGCTGCCCTGGAGCCAGATGATCTCTACAATATGTTTGAGCCCAGCTTCAGCGATGAAGGCTCCAATGCTCGTGTAGAAGAAGAGGCAGCCATGTTTACATGGATGATGTTTCTCCAAGATTGTGGAAGCAATAGTAAGCATAAAATTTCACATCCTTTTTGCTTGCCGTCATCCCACTGTTTTATTTTTACACCCTTTGTCCACTATTACTGCTGTACTAGATGTGATGCGGCCATGATGCCGAGGCGCGCCGAGGATTGGCACTTTGTGTCTTCCAATCCCAGTCTACGCCGCACCTCTCTATTATAACTTCTAGGTATAACACCATTAGAGCACCAAATCACCGATCTCAGGAATATCCCTCGGAACTGTGCGTCTCATCCGCGTGCAGCGCTTAGGATCAACAGCAAAGCTGTGCCAAGCAATCTTGTATGTGTCTCTGGTTAAATCACATCATAATTTTACTGTATGCATTATTGCAGTTGGAAAGTGCAAGCTTGAAGATGTGCTTGCATTTGTAACTGGTGCCAGACACAGGCCTCCCTGCGGATATGGTGTGCAGCCACAAATTACTTTTTGTGGAGCATCACCACTTCCAAGCGCCTCAACATGTGCTGTACAATTGGTGCTGCCAACTGGTTTGGGAGAAGAGGAATTCCATGACAAGATGACGGAGGGAATATTGGGAGCTCTAGGGTTTGGCTCAGCATAGTCTGTCGTGCCCAATACTGTATAGAGTGCCGTTGAGTGTTGAATATTGAAGATCACGATTCACTACAGTGTGTACAATGGTCAATTTTCTTCCTGATCTCATGTTATGTCTGTTATACTTAAAGAGCAGCTCAAGTTTGTCTAACTTAATATTTCTTTGAATTGTTTTTTTAACTATTTAACCTGAATATATTATTTTAGTTTTTCTTGTGATGTTTGACCCACTTTGATATCTAGGAGGTGCTATGATTGTGCTATATATTAAATACACCGTGCATCTATTTGTTATATTGATGATGCAGCTCAGTTATTTCGTTGCCAGTTTTTATTTCTAATATTTAACCTGCCTGTAATATTATAGTTTACCCTGTGATGTTTGAATCACTATCTAGAAAGTGCTATGATTGTCTTTCTGTGTATATATGTTATACTTGTGATGCAGCTCAATTTCAGTATTTCGTTGCTGTTTTTTTAAATATTTAACCTGCCTGTAATATTTTAGTTTGCCCTGTGATGTTTGAATCACTATCTAGGAGGTGCTATGATCGTCTTTCTGTGTATATATGTTATACTTGTGATGCAGCTCAATAACAGTATTTCGTTGCTGTTTTCTTAATAGTTAACCTGCCTATT